GATAAATACTTTTCGGGCTGGATTTATTTTGTGCTGGAGTTCTCCCAGGGTCAGTCTTGGGTGCCTTACTTGTTCTGATTTATGGAAATAATCCAGGTCTTGGGTTGCCAACGGCAATTTCAGAGTTCGTGGGTGATAAAAGAAAACTTGTGAGCATCGTCAACTGTGAGGAGGATAGAGTAAAACTTCAAAGGAACATTGACAAGCTGACAAAGTGAGCAGGTACATGGCAGATCAAGTTAAACGCAGAGAACTGTGAAGTGATAAAGAACAGAGAACATAGCACTGTACAGCACAACTTTGGTCCACAACTTTGTGCGAACATGATGCCAAATTAAACTAAACACTTCTGCCTGCCCTTGGTCCATATCCTTCCATTCTTACATATTCATGCAGTTATCTACAAATCCCTTTAACTTCCCTATTGTATCTGCCTTCACCACCACCCCTGGCAGCACATTCCAGACTCCTGGCATTCTCTGTGTAAAAAAACATGCTCCTCACATCTCCTTTGCACTTTCCCCCTTCACCTTAAATGCATGTCCCCTAGTTTTAGACATTTCAACTCTGGGAAAAAGATTCTGACTGTCAATGGGGACCTCCAAAAACTATTCGTCCAGCTCACTAAATTGCCTGCAGCTCCTGTGCTTTCGGACACAGCCCCCAGAATTCCTGTTTCATCTTTTGACTGTCCTGTGTCATCACTTGACCATTCCTGAAGGAGTCCTTTCATTTCCCTATAAACGATCAAACCTCGGGAAAGATTCCGGATTATGAAGCAGGAATGGGAAGGAATGATGTGTCTCCTTCACCGTGTAACTGCATGGAACATCCTCCAGTGTTTTCTCATGTTTTTGTGATCTTTCAATTTAATTCAGTTCGCCAAATAAACTCGTTTCTTTCAAAATAAACAGAGGCCCAAACTAATATTAAGGAAACATGGACATTCTCCAGCTTGTGATGTGAGTGCAATTTTGCTTTTTGGTCTCTGATCTCCTTTTGGGTGGTTTGTGAGATCAGGTGCATTTATCAGGGGAAAGTTACCGATTATCCTTCATCATCTGTTCCCCATACTGCAAAACATTTTATTTCCAAGGCGAAGAATCATTGAATCATTGTGGGCTTTTTTGAACTGTCGCTGCACTCCTCTGATTTCTTTATTCTTGGCCAGGATGTGGGTGTCACTAATTTCCCTCCAAACTGAGTGGTTCTGAGGCTGTTTCAGAGGGCACTTCAGAGTCAACTGCAAGTTGCTGTGGGCGTGGACTCACGTGTAGGCCAGGGCATGTCAGGATGGCATCATGACTAAGATTCATGAACCGAAATGAAAACACTTTCAGCTGCTGTTGTGTGATGTGAACCCATTTCCTGAAAGCGTCAGCCTGGATCTCCCTTGACTTGTAGAGGCAACCCTGGAGTTAAAAGTTTTGCATTTAAAGGGGTGTTGGTGTTTTTCTTTTAATCACTGCGTGCTTCCATTTGAAACCTAGCAGTAAATGGACAGGATCTTGTTTGCAGAACAGCAGCTGACCTAACACAAAATCCAGGTTCTGATGTATTTACTTCATTCTTTCCCACAGATAGAGAGACACTGATTCTTAACAGTCTGCAAGCCACATAAACACACAGGCCATTTGTATTATACATGTGAAGCAAGGAATTAATAACAGAAAATGTGTACAAAAATGATCACATACATCGGTTCCAAAGGGCTGACTGACCACCTGGCTGGATGATCTCTTTGCAGTGACACACACCTACCACAAGATGGAATTGATCAGGTAGAGAGCTTCTGCTCCTCCGATGTGTTTGCACCATCTGCCTTGTCCTGACGCTGTGCAAATTAAGCTTAATCCCTGGCACAGGGTTTTACCAGCTGCCCCAGCTCCTACACACAGTAACTGGGCAGCTTACAATAGATTGGCTGTGGCTCAGCAGGTAGCTCTTACCGTCTGTGCCAGGGGGGTTGTGGATGGACGCACAGAACAGGCTGCCACTCCAGTGCACTTCAGGTGAGACATGAAGCCCTGGGCCCAGTGAACACTGTCTACCTTCATCAGGTGGGCATTGAAGAATGCCTGCCGCTGTTTTGAAGCTGATGGTGGGTATGTAAGATTTGTTTTAATCATTTCTACCTCATGCTGTTGTCATGGTCCCAGTTTCAATGAGAGATGCTGTGCATGAACAGCATTGATTACATGATGTTGGAGAACGTACATGATTAAATTATTTTACAAATTTAAGAAAGTAACAGATTTTTTTCAAAAAAGTCCAATGTTGGATTGCTGTCTGCATGAGGCAAGAGATAGCAATGTGATACAGCACAAAGGCTGTCTTATCTTTTCACTGACCTTGCTGTGTCCTCAACAGGACAGTGATTGTTCACTGGATTTCAGCACGAGGCTCAGGCTCTGCTGTAAACAATGGTGCTATTCTGTTCTGAAAGCAAGGAAAAGACCACTGGACAAAGATGCATGCCCTGGGGGCTGTTTGCCTGGGTCACAGTCCCCCACAGACCTCTCGCAGCCAAATTCACCCCAATAGTCAATGGAGACAGCTTGTTCCACGCTGACCCTGTGCCCTGTCACAACCACACAGGATCTTCTGTGTCTTAATCATGGTCAGCTCTCGAAAGCTTCACTCTCCTTAATCCTTCCTTATGAGACAACCCACACATTGCAGGTATGAATCTGGGCAACAGCGATCGGATAGTTTTATGGTCACTGTGACTAAGGCGAGCAAACCATTTGGCATGAATGTCAAGGGCTGAATGTTTTCTTTTTGTGCTGGTTATGAATGGAAGTTCCCTTGCTGCAGTGGTGTGATTTGAATTTCTTGATGGATCAACTCTCCAGATCTTTGTGTCTAAATGTGCGCATGTCTTAGACTAGAGTGTGAGAGATAGTCACCAAAGTCCTTTTTGACATTTATACAATGACATGGATGTGAATATAGGAAGAATGGTTCCTAAGTTTACAGATGACACCAAATTGGAGCTGTAGCTGACAGCGTAGAAGGTTACCTCAGAATACAACAGCACCTTGATCAGATGGGCCGAGGAGTGGCAGATGGAATTTAGTTTAGATAAAGCTGCTGCATTTTGGAAAGGCAAATCAGGGCAGGACTTATACATTTAATGGTAAGGTCCTATGGAGTGTTGCCGAACAAAGAGACCTTGAAGTGCAGGTTCATAGTTCGTTGAAGAGTGTGGAGCTGGAGGAACACAGCAGGCCAAGCAGCATCAGAGGAGCAGGAAAGTTGACATTTCGGGTCGGGACCTTTCTTCAGGAGTTTTTTTGAAAAAGGGTCCGGGCCCGAAATGTGAACTTCCCTGCCCCTCTGATGCTGCCTGACCTGCTGTGTTCCTCCAGCTCCACACTGTGCTATCTCTGACTCCAGCATCTGCAATTCTTGTTATCTCTATATTTCCTTGAAGGTAGAGTCGCATGTAGACAGGATAGTGAAGAAGGCGTTTGGTATGCTTGTCTTTATTGATCAGTGAATTGAATATAGGAGTTGGGAGGTCATGTTGCGGCTGTACAGGACATTGATTAGGCCACTTTTGGAATACTGCTTTCAATTCTTCTCTCCCTGCTGAAGGAAAGATGTTGTTATACCTGAAGGGGTACAGAAAAGATTTACAAAGACGTTGCTGGGGTTAGAGAGATTGAGCTTTAGGGAGAGACTGAATAGGCTGGGGCCATATTCCCTGGAACATCGGATGCTGAGGGGTAACCTTACAGAGATTTATAAAATCAGGAGGGGCATGGATAGTGTGAATAGCCAAGGTCGTTTTCCCAAGGTAGAGGAGTCCAAAACTAGACAGCATAGGTCTAAGGTGAGAGGGGAAAGATTTAAAAGGGACCTAAGGGACAAATTTTTCATGCAGAGGGCGGTGCGTGTATGGAATGAGCTGCCAGAGGAAGTGGTGGAGGCTGGTACAATTACAACATTTAAAAGGCATCTGAATGGGTACATGAATAGAAAGGGCTTAAGAGGGATATGGGCCAAATGCTGGCAAATGGGACTGGATTAATTTAGGATATCTGGTCGGGACGGACGAGTTGGACCAAAGGGTCTGTTTTTGTGCAGTACAGCTCTATGACTCCTGGGCCGCAGCACAATAAATGGATTTGTTTGACACTTGCTTTCAGTTGTTGAAGGGAGGGTTTGGGACTGGAATCTGGATGGTGTTGATGTTGAGTTACTCGTTCTAAAAAAATTGCCATACAAGGAATCAATTGGAGCAAGTACGCAGAGCAAGGAGTACTCCTTTCAGATGGAGCAAAGCAGCATTTTCAACTTGATCCAGGTGCTGGAGGGTGTGAACAGAAGGAGCTGCTTGCTGACTTCAGGGTTTTGTTTACCAGGGCTGGAGGTGATGCAGAATGAGCTCTGGCCCTGTGGAAGTGCAGTTTAACTGCCAGAGATGGGAGGAGAGAGACAGACAGAGCCAGGGAGAGATGGTGAAGAGCATCCACATGGGCACCAACACAGACAGACAGGTGAACACAGATAGACAGACACACACAAACCCTCACCCAGACAGCCATGGAGAGGGGGTGAGGAGCATCCATATGGACACCAACACAGACAGACAGGCACACACAGACAAACTGTCACCCAGACATATCCAGGGAGAGGGGGTGGGTAGGTGCATATCCATACACACAACAGACACAGACACCCTCTCTCACAAAGACAAGCACACGCACACACATAAACAAATGTACACACACAGCCATGGGGATGGGAGGTGGGGAGATTGGACCCTCCTCCGCAGACCCACAAAGACAGCCTGTTTCACACGAGGAGACACAGTCAGACCAACGGGCACACAGAATTGGGGCGGGCGTGGGAGGGCGACAGACAGAAACAGAGAGAGCTGGGTGCACACACCAACATAGACAGAAGCTGTCTGTCACACAGACAGAGCTGGGGGCGGGGCAGTTGAGTCAGATACAGACAGTGTGTGTGTGTGAGAGAGAGAGAGACAGACAGGCAGAGCAGGGATCCACTGTGAGACTGACACGCCCCTGGGGGAGGATGGGGCGCATGCTCCTGCCCTGGAAGGGGCTTGGCCCGCTGGGGTGGGAGGGGGGCGTTGTATCTGTTTGAAAGAAGCTGCAGGTTCGAAGCCGCTCGGCCGGGAGCAATTATTCCAAATGGATACAAAGTGGTAGCAGCTCGTTTCCAGGCGCTACATTGTAACCGCAGCTCGGGGATGAGACTGCGGCCTCCTGGCTACAGCTCGTAACCTGAGAGAAACCCAGCGGTACTGCCTTCACCTCAGGCCTCGGAGTACACAGGTCAGTACCAGGCCGCTCGGCCCAACTGCGCGGACAGCCCTTTCTCCTGCCAGCCCCGGACACTGACAGGGAGAGAAGGGGGCTCTGCTTGATCCTCTGCTGCTGGGGGTGGACGGGGAGGGGCAGCAGCTCCCCTTCGCCCCCTGCCCCTCCCCACCGCCTGCCACCCCTCGACCCCCGCCTCGCCCCCTGCCCTCAACCCCTGCCCCCACGGCCCTCTTGCCCCTGGATGGTGTGCAACAAGCAGTAGTCCTCCACAAGAACAGAGATAACAAGGTGTGGAGCTGGATGAACACAGCAGGCCAGGCAGCATCAGAGGAGCAGGAAGGCTGACCCTTC